TCGTGGGATTGCTTTTGCTCAGGGACCTGGATATACTTGGAGGGTAATGCGGGAAGATGGGGAAGTCCGATGTATACCTCAAGGGGATTTGATTTTAGGGGAAAACAGCCAGTGAACTCAATTGTATACTGTTGCCTGCTGTGTAATGCTTTTATAGCCCATCAACTAGATGTCTCCAGGTCACCAGCGACTGGCCCTGACTTCCCTCCAGCCATCATCCCAACAGAGAATGAACTTGGAACATCATGGACCGAATGGACTCAGCAGCATTATAGGGATTGGTCCATGCACTAAGAAAATGATTTTTTTTCCTCTTGGTCTGTATGTATATGGATGTATATATGTGGGAGAGCGATGGTGTATTGAAAATGTGGGATCTGAGCACGACGTGAATGGTATGGAATAAGGGGTGGATAATGTCCTGGGTTCAGCAGTAGCAGTCATGTTTTTTCCTTTGTGTTAACTGGTGCAGTGCTGTGTTTTGACTTCTAGTTTGAGAGCAGCGTTGGTGAAGCCGATGTTTTCGGTTGTTGCTAAGTGATGTTTACCCTGACCAAGGACTCTGTGAGGCTCATGCTCTGCCAGGGAGGAGGGGAAGCTGTGAGGAGGCAGAGACGGGGCGCCTGACCCGGGCTAGCCGGGGAGGTATTCCATACCACAGCACGTCATGCCCGGGGTGGGGGGTAACTGGGAGTTACCCGGAAGGACACGGGCTTCCGGGTGGAACTCGTTTTCTTGGCCGGTGGTATCGTATTCTCTTCCCTTGTTATTTTCCCTTATCATTGTTTTAGCTGATAGTAGCGGTGGTGATTTGTTGCTGGACTGTTCTTGTCTCAACACGTAGGAGTTGCACTCTCTCGATCCTCCTCCCCGTTCCTCCGGGAGCGGGGAAGGGGAGAGCCCCGGTGCAGGGGCGGGGGGGGGGAGACGGACACGGACCTTGATTGTTGTCAGCTCGGCACCACTCACTGGGAGTGAGTGAACAAGTTACCTGACTGGGTTTAAACCACGACACTTTACCAAGGGGAAGTCATGTTTGACCAACCGTATATGAGCAAGTAACTAGGTGGGCGGATGATGGTAGAGAAGTAGACGTGGTTTTTCTTGATTTCAGTAAGGCATTTGATACTGTCTCCCACAGCATCCTCATAGATAAGCTAAGGAAGTGTGGGCTTGATGATCAGGTAGTGAGGTGGATCAAGAACTGGTTGGAAGGAAGAAGGCAGAGAGTTATGGTCAATGGGGCAGAATCTAGCTGGAGGTCTGTGACTAATGGAGTCCCTCAGGGGTCGGTGCTGGGACCAGTGCTGTTTAATATTTTCATCAACGACCTGGATGAGGGAACTGAATGTACCCTCAGCAAGTTTGCTGATGATACTAAACTGGGAGGAGTGGCTGACACACCAGAGGGCTGTCTCGCCATTCAGCGAGACCTGGACAGGCTGGAGAGTTGGGCGGAGAGGAACTTGATGAAATTCAACAAGGGCAAGTGTAGAGTCTTGCATCTGGGGAAGAACAACCCCATGTACCAGTACAGGTTGGGGGCTGACCTGCTGGACAGTAGTGAAGGGGAAAGGGACCTGGGGGTCCTGGTGGATAGGAGGATGACTATGAGCCAACAATGTGCCCTTGTGGCCAAGAAGGCCAATGGCATCCTAGGGTGCATTAGAAAGGCTGTGGTTAGTAGGTCAAGAGAGGCACTCCTCCCCCTCTACTCTGCCTTGGTGAGGCCGCATGTGGAATATTGTGTCCAGTTCTGGGCCCCACAGTTCAAGAAGGACAGGGAATTGCTTGAAAGAGTCCAGCGCAGAGCTACAAAGATGATTAAGGGAATGGAACATCTCTCTTATGAGGAGAGGCTGAGGGAGCTGGGACTCCTTAGCTTGGAGGAGACTGAGGGGTGACCTCATCAGTGTTTGCAGATATGTAAAGGGTGAGTGTCAGGATGATGGAGCTAGGTTTTTTCAGTGATGTCCAGTGGTGGGACAAGGGGCAATGGGTGTAAACTGGAGCATAGGAGGTTCCATGTGAACATCAGGAAAACTTTCTTTACTGTGAGAGTGACAGATCACTGGAACAGGTCGCACAGGGTGGGTTGTGGGGTCTCCTACGCTGGAGATACTCAAGGCCCGCCTGGACAAGTTCCTGTGTGATGTACTCTAGGTTACCCTGCTCTTGCAGGAGGGTTGGACTAGATGATCTTTTGAGGTCCCTTCCAACCCTTAGGATTCTGTGATTCTGTGTCTGAATGAACAGGGAGTGAGAGATCTGCTTTCCAAGTCAAACTCTTCACAAAGCAGATAGTCTGAGACCCATAGAAAATATTTACCCCAGCAACACAGATCTCCTTTGCCTGCACGGTGGCACATCCATTGACTGGTTGTCTTCTATCCCTTCAGAAGAAGCAGGATTCCCCGTGGGTTTTTCACCCCGTGAAACAAGCACTGTCTCACATTCCATCCCTTTTCAGAGCAATGGTACCCCAATTTTGCCCAAAAGCGTTGAAAATTGCAGTCCTGTGACCAGGCTCAGCACTACACAAATGGAACAAAGCACCTGAGTGTCTGCCACCTCTAGAAAAACACACGAGTAGTTTTCTCTGAACTGGGCCGCACTACAACAAGCTCAGCTCGCACACCACGGAGATAACAGGCTCCAGCTGAAGCCAAGAACTTCCCAGCTCATGCAGCAGCACTTCACTTACCTGCACAAGGAGGATTTAAATTCCTGAGTGGCCTAATCCCACTCCTGTCCTAAAACCACCCCAACCTTGTCATTAACATCACAGGAAACGTGAAAACACTGTGCACAAGCAGAGTGATTTGCCTGAAGTGACAGAGCAACCCAGGCTGACCCATTCCCTCACTAACAAACGGGAAGTAGAGCAGAACTCAGCTGAACAACACCAGAGCAATGAGGGCATTCAGTTACCCACAAACATAAGACAACCCAGACCCGTCATAAACGCTGAACTACAGTTGGCCTGTGCAACAACCCAGGTGGGCCTGCAGTGAAGTAGCGCATTTGACTGCACCAGTGGGTGCCTTTCCCCAGCAGTTATTCACTTCCACACACAGATTTTTGGGCTCTTCTCAGACAAAGCACTTGCATGCTCAGTTGCCTTCTTTTGGGGTTTGGAGGTGGAGAACTGAATGACAATTCAAATGCTGATCCCAAAAGCAACTGCAGAATAGATGTAAAACCTGTGCAGCCATAAGGGCACCAAGCAAGTTGTCCTGGGTTCAGCATTAGCAGTCATTTTTCTCCTTCTTTGTAGCTGGGAACAGATCTGATAACAATGATGTTTTGGTTTGGCCAAGGACTTTGTGAGCCTCATGCTCTGCCAGGGAGGAGGGGAAGCCGGGAGGAAGCAGAGGCAGGACACCTGACCCAAACTGACCAAAGAGGTATTCCATACCACAGCACGTCATGCCCAGGATGTAACTGATGGTTACCCGGAGGGGCTAAGACTGCAGGGTTGGAGGAGGCATCGGTCGGTGCTTGGTTGGGCTGGGGGGGCGAGCTGGCAGTCGGCTGGCGGTGAGGTGCTGTATTCTCTTCCCTTGTTCTTTCCTTTATCATTGTTATTATTGGTGGTGGCAGTGGTGGTTTGTGTTCTACCTTAGTTGCTAGACCGTTCTTGTCTCAACCCGTGGGAGTTGCATTCTTTTCGATTCTCGTCTCCGTCCCTCCGGGAGTAGGGGGAGGGTGGGAAGGGAGGGAGGGAGTGAACGAGTTGCCTGACTGGGTTTAAACCACGACACAAGTATAGAAGAAGATCCAGGTATCCACGGCAAAACGGTTGCTAACGGCGGCCCGGCCGCAGACACGGTCCGTCCTCAGAGAACCTGTCCCACTGCTACTGCCTCGGGTGAGCACCAGGGGAGGACCAGATTGGATACTCCTTCCGCTAAAGGCGGCGCTGACCATTGTGTCCCCGCAGAGCCCCGCCACAGACCTGCCGGTACCCGCTGCCACTGGACCGGTGCCCTGGGATGATTTTCCTGCCGGTACTATCAGGTGCCCAGGGGCTTGCCATGGGCCCGCCACCCAGACCCGCTCTGCTGCAAAACAGGAACCTATTCTCTCCTTCCCACTCTGCCTTGCCCAGTCGGCTCAGGGGAAAGGTTTCTTCCAGGTTGTATCAGGAGGGAAGAGTTTGCTTTGGCTGTGGGGACCTCAGAACAACTGGGTTCTGAGAGGTCCTGAGAGGAGAGGGAAGGAGGTAGCAAAGAATAGTGCCGGACTTGTGGTGAGCATCCAGCTTCTGCAGCAAAACAGTGCCTGGGATGCTGTGGGAAGCAGCTGTAAGAGCTGAAGGAGGGACAGGACGGGCTGCCTCGTATGTGAGCAGTGCTCTTGGCTGGAGCAGGGCAGCCAAAGCACCGCTGCACAGGGGGCACCCCGTGTCCAGCCTCGGGATTCTCCTCACCAAACACTCCCCAGTTTGCAACCATGGCCAGGTGGGTACGTGGAGCCAGGACGCAACCGCTGCCCAGCGGCTGCTGCGTGGCCTTCCATGCTGCTTGCGAAGGACACCATGGCCTTGGAATTGTGGTTGGAGCTTTAATCAAAAAGTCACATTTTCTTAAGCAGGGCTTAACTGCTGCCTGGCTTTTCAGAGTCAGGAGCACAACGCCTACAGGGTCCGCTTCCATCTTTTCTGCATCCATATACAGGTCAGGATGCATAATGTCTGTTGTACCAGGGATGAGACCTGACATTCCTCTTCTCCTGTCAAAAGATGGAGTGCTGCAACAGACGGAAAAAGAGCAGAGCTGAAACCCACTGATCTCACTGAAGAGACCCACGGGCATCTCTTCCAGACCATGCCAGCCCCAACCATCCCTTTCCCTGGTCAGGAGGCGCAGGCAGACAAATGGATCACCTGGAAGCTGCTGCTCAGGATTACAGCAAATGCCCCCAAGATGTTCCCTGGAGCAGGACAGCAGGACAGCACGCTGCCCAGGCTCTGTCCCCTGTCCCCGCCAGCCCCATCACACACAGCACTGCCCCTACTCACCCTTGAAGATCTCCTGCAGCGTGTCCTTGCTGCTGTCATTCAGGTACCGCGCAGCCAGTCCTGTGCAGAGAGCTCGGTCAGACCTGCTGCCGCCCAGCACACTCCTAGTATCGTGGCCCCGGCTCTGAAGGTTGGGCTGAACCCCTTCCCTCCCCTCAGCGGGGTGACCCCAGGGAAGGACAGGACCCGAGGGGAGGTGCCACTGAGCAAGGTGCCACTGAGCCCTGCTGCCAGGGCAGGGGTAGGAGGGGGAAGCACAGAGCCCCTGGCTGCACAGGACCTGTACAGGGCAGCTGGGGCTCTGGCAGCCACACGGCTGCTCCTCGCTGCCAGTGCAGCAGATGGGACTGGGGCCAGGCTGCCATAAGGGGGACTCCAGGGACTGCAGCTCACCGATGAACCTCACGGCTGCCATTCGCACGGTGACCTGAGCGTGCTGCAGATAAGGCATGCTTTGACGCACATATTCTTCAGCCCTGCTCCGCTTGTGCTCCAGCTGGAGAGAGCAAAAGGGCGCAGGGATGATACACACCCTCCCCAGTTACCTGGGACAGTCCCCCTTCCCAGCACCCCACACACCCCCCTTCATCCTCAGGACATTTGCATCTCCCAGCAAGGAGCCCTGTGGGGCTGAGGTTCAGAGACAGCTACATGCAAAGCAGGGTCTGGAGGTCCCGAGAGCCCTCTGTGCCGCTGCAAGGGCCCAGATGGGTCTCCTGCAACATCCTGAGGGTGGAGAGGTGAGCCCTTGGGAGCTCTGCCTGAGGGCAGGGAAGGAGGATGCAGCACCAGGCTGCAGGCTCTGGGCTGAAGCACTGCAGGCGAGGCACCACTGCACAGGGGGCACCCCATGTACAGCCTGGGACTTATCCTCACCAAGCGCTCCACAGTTCTCCATCTCTCCAGTGCCTGCACGTGGTGACTGAGCCATTTCCATTTGAGCACCTTTGCAGCTACACAGAAGGCTTCGTGAGAGGCCTGCAGAGGAGGACAACGATTGGGGAGATTGTGGACAGGGCTTGCGGCCCAAAGCCCTGGCCCCCAGCACCTGCAGGGACAGCTGGGTAGTCCCTGGGGACTCTGCTCTTCAGGCCTTGGTGGCCATGAGCTGCTGCTGAGCCCTGCTGGACCACATAGGGCAGGCGTGGCAAATGTCCCTGCCAGCTTCTCCTGCCCTCCCTGCTGCCCAGGCAACCCCCGCGGGCTCAGCATGCCCTTCCCCACACCACTGCTCAGGTTTGCAATCTGTACCTTGGCCACACTCTCAGTCTCATCACTCATGTGCAACACGAGTGGGACCAGGCTCCCCTGCACGTTCTTCCGCATCTGCCGCTGGTGCTTCCAATCCGCCATCTGTATTACTTCTTTGAATAGGCAGATGGAGAGCTCTCGCACCTGGCTGGACACCTGGTGAGGAGGAGGAGGACAGAAGGGCGTCAGTAGCAGCAGCTCCCTGAGCAAGGGCGTCAGCGTGGCTGAGGGGAGGGGTTTCAGGTCTCCCAGAGCCATCAGCAAGTCAGGGAGAAGCTGAGCTGGGCTGCAGAGCCCAGAAGGCATCCCCGTGAGAGCGCAGGGGCATGAGGAGGGGCACAGCCCCATGGAAGTGCTGCCACCAGGCTCTGCTAACAGGCACTTGTCCTTGCAAAGGGCCCATCAGTGAGGATCAGGCTTCCATAGCAGCCTTACATCATCAAACAGTTGCGGGAGATTCTCGGCCAGCTGCAGAGCAGTGGAGCTGTCCTTCTTCTTCAAATGACCCATCACATTTCTGAAAATGAGCAGCATCTTCTTTCTGTTCTTACTGTGGGCTGTCTGCAGCATGTATATCAAATCTGGCAGCAGGACCAGTATTTTCTTTGCCTGTACAAAGCACAGAATTCCTTGTATGTTAAGTGGCGAAGGACCACCCAGGCCAAAATGTTCTGGCATTTAAGCACCAGACTCCTGCCTGACTGACTGGGCAGTGGCACAGGAATCCCTGCAGCAGCCTCCTGGCAGGCCATCCCCATGGTGCACTGAGGGGATCGGGGCCTGTGACTGGACGTTGAGGGCATTTGGTGCCGTGACCCCAGCTCCCGATTCCCAGCCCTGGTCAAGCCGCCGCGTTACCCACTGCCCAGCCCCAGGAGGCCAACACGGCTTCCCTTGCCTATGCCCTGCTCACCGTGTCAGGTGACTGTGACAACGTGATGAGGCCTGTGAGCGTCAGCGAGAACAGCACCACATTTTGACACCACGGGAACTTCTCCCTGTTGTACACCCCAGCGAATTCCTCTGGTGTCACATCGCTGCAGGCCAGGAGCTGAAACAAAGATGGCAGTGAGGGACCGGCCGAGCCTGCAGGGCTCCCGGCACTGTGCAGCTCCTGGGTCCCGCTGGCAGCTCAGGACAAGGGCACCGGGGACAGAGAGCCCGTGCTGGGGGACACCAGCCGCACACCACACGCTTGTCTGTGCCGGCTCTGCTGGTGTAAGCAGAGCACTGACAGGGACTTTGTGCACCCGCACCCAAGCAGCGTGGCATGGCCCTGTGTGGCTGGCACAGGGGAACCTGGCGCTGGGCTGGCCCTAACGGGCTGCATCCCTGTTTCCCAGAGGAGGTGACTGTTTGGGGGCAGATGGCAGGGAAGAGGGCTGTGCCTGTGTTTCTGGAGAGGCAGGCACAGCCCTGAGTATGAGCAAGGACTGGTCTGGTTACTCACAGCCAAGAGCCGGATACAGAACTTCACTCTGCAGAATCTGCTTCCGATACGTAACTGCAGGTGCTGGAGGTTCCTTCTCAGCTCCCTCAAGACCTTCACCAAGATGAGGGGCTGGGACAGCAGCGCTTCCCACATGGCCTGAGCAACTTTGCTGAAAGAGAACACTGTCAGCAGGGCTGCCTTGGCCACCACACGGTGCCTGGGCCAGCCCTGCAGCAGCCAGGCTGTGCTGCAGCCCTGGCCCTTCCTGACCCCTCACTGGGAGTGCCCAGGTCCCAGATGGGGCAGGCAGGAGGGGGCTGAAACTGTTCCCTGTGGGGCAGGGAGAAAACTCGTGGCAGGCCTCGGGTCTGGCTTGGACAGCTTTGGCTACTGCAGGCCTGGCCAACCCAGCAGGGCAGGAGAGAGTGATGGGGTACAGGGCCCAGCTCCTCAGGGGTGTCCTGCAGTTTTCTGTGGGCCTCCACGTCCCTCTCCCCACATGGAACAAACCCACGAGGGCTGTGGGGATCAGTACCTGTTACATGCTGGAGAGATATCTATAAGGCTCAAGATCATCTCCCTGGGCTTCTGCTCTGCCATGCTTAGAAATAGCGACTTCAGGCTGCACCGGGCTGATGCTGCGCTGATGTGCTGCAAGTTGTTATAGATGCAGCGCGTGATGATCCACACCTGGAGAGCACACGGGTGAGGGTGGTGCTGCCACCAGACTGCAGCCATTTCCTCAGCTGCTGCTGAAACAGCTGCCCTTCCCATCCTACTCTACTGGCATGAAATGGCTTCAAGGTGCCTGAAGCACCCGGGTGAGGGGAGATGGGATGTAGGGAGGAACAGTGCCTGGAAGGACTGGAGGACAGGGCAGCCACAGGCTGCTTACCTCTGTCAGCCAGGAGGCAGGTTCTGTCATGGCCACGTTCAGGATGCTGATCAGCTCCTCCTTGTCACATACACATGGGTCTCTCATGGCCTGTATGGCCCTGAGGATGATGACTGTCTTATCAGCAGGGTGGAGGTATTCCCCAAATGCCTGCAGGAAGGAGGAAGGCGGGGAAGACGTGTTACACTGAGTGCCCTGATAGTGCTGCTCAGCTGGGCAGTGAGAGCAGCTCTGGCGAGAGGACCCACGGGAAAGCTGGCAGCAGGGGCTGCAGTCGTTGCGGAGGATAAGAAGAGAGGTCCCTAGGTGAGAGAGGAGGGACCCTGGAGTGCAGCCCTCTGAAGTCCCTGCTCCAGAACAGCAGCAACCCTCTGACCAGGGACAGTGAGGTCATGCCAAGCCCGCTGGTTCTGGATCCCTTTGCTTGCACCAGTCTCGTTCTGATGCCCCAGACAAGAGGCCCAGCAAGGAAGAAGCTCATTACCTTTGCCATGCTCCTCGTGCTGCACAGAGAAAGACAGGAGGGTTTCCCTGCTTCCCTCTTCCCTCCAGCCTGGGGATGCTCTGGATGATCATGACAATTGTCTGGTTGAGGTGACGTCATGCCTAAACATGAGGGGATCACGGAAGAGTCATTAGGACACAGCACTGATTACCATCAGTGACAGCTTTGGCTATGGGGACCATGGAACTGCTGGGTTCTGAGAGGCCCTGAGAAGAGTGGGAAGGAGAGCAGCAAAGAGCAGTGCCGGACTTGTGGTGAGCACTCGGCTTCTGCAGCAAAACAATAGCTGGGATGCTGCGGGAAGCAGCTGTGACGGGCAAAGGAGGTGAGGGAAGAGGGCAGGCTGCCCTGGACAGCCTCCAGCAAGCACAAAAAGAATCCACTACAATACTTGGGGAAACAAGCAGGACTATGAGGAGACGTCTGTGTGTGGAGGGATGAAGCCCACAGAGCTTCTCTTACATTTTTGGTGCTGGATGAATATGGAGAGGTGATGAAGAGCAACCAAAGCCTCCTGCTGGATCGCCCAGATCTTGCTAGTCCAGCAAACAATGAGACGTCCCAGCAGCTGTCCCAGCAAGCAGTCCTTGCTGATGTCATGGTGGGAAGAGCTGTGGTCGTGTCCAAGCAAGCTCCAGACCTGGGCAAGGGAGGCAGGACAGGTAGAAGGGCTGAGGGGCAGCAGCGCAACAAAAGCTCCGAACCTGAGACTGCCCCAGGGAAGGATCCTGGAGGGTCGGAGTTGTGCAGGGCCCTCCCAGAGCAGCGAGCTGGGCAGCCGGGCAGGGAGAGCTGCCAGGCCTGGCCTCCCGCCATGCTCCTTGGGCAGTGCTGACCTGCACAGGACTGGGGGCCAAGATGGCTGCTGGCAGAAAGGGCACTGGGGAGGAAAAAACATGGGAAAAAGAGAAGCCGAGACCCTTGCCCAGGGCAGAGCCGTGCTGAATGCCTCAGGCATTTGAGCCGCAGGCTGCTGCCCACGGTGGGCAGGGAATGGGAGACAGCCTGGCTGGAGGGTGCCTGCCTCCCTACCTGCACTGAGGAAGAGCTGGCCATCAAATCGGCCAGCTTTGCGATCCTTGCCACGGCCCGTTCACACACAGCTGGGTGCTTGATGTTGATGAAGGGCAGCAGCATCTGGAAGGAGAGAAAGTGCTGCTGTGCCCTGGGAGCTGGTGCCCGTGCCAGCAGCAGCAGCAGCAGCACTGCTCAAGTCCTGGCTGGACTCATGAAGTCCTTGTGGCCCTGAAGGGAGGCAGATGCCACCCCAGGGTAGAGTCTGCTTCTTTCTGTGCCCTCCCCGTGAGCACAGGCCTGTGTTCCCTCTCTGTGAAGGCTGGGCTTTTGGGCAGCACCCTCCCGGGGGGCGGTGATCCTGCAATGGGGGAATGGACGTACGGCTCCCTGAGAAGTCAGGAGCGCCGAACTTCAGAGCTGGGCTCCCTGTGCAGGACAGGCAGGTCCCAGTGGGTCTCTGCCCCGGTCAGACCTGGGCAGAAAAGCAGGAGGGACTGCGAGGCATGGGAAGAAGGGCAGCACCCGCAGCCACTGCTGCGGTGCCTGAGGAGAGGGGTCAGCGCCTGCAGAACACAAGCAGGATGGGACCTGGCGGCTGCCAGCACCCAGTGCCAGCAGACCCAGGCCCAGGCGGCAGGGCTGGCAGACACCCTCTGTCCCCAAGCCCAGCTCTGGCCCCCAGCGTGGCCCCGCTGCCAGGGCTGCTCAGCCCTGCAGCTCAGTGTCTGCCTGCGCACGCTGGTCCCTGCCCTCCCCCTGCACGGGCCCTGTGTGTCCTCACAGTGTGCCGGTGCCTGGCAACTTGCCCCCTTCCTCAGGCCGGCCGTGTGTCCCCTCACCTTGATGTTCTTCACCACCTGACACTGCACACAGAACTCCTTTAGTTCCTCTAAGCAGCCCTGGTCCCTGGGAGCTGTGCAGAGGCTGGAGACGGCCTGCAGGAATTTCACCTTCTGAGCCTCCTCCTGGGCAGCCGGGGGGCAGAGACACAAACAGGCAGCGTGAGAAGGGGGGCACGTGGCCAGCGGGACTGGAAGTGGGGCTGCAGTGCTGTGCAGGAGACCCGGGGGAGCAGCTCTGCCCAGCCAGCAGCCCCCAGCAGCCTGGCAGCAGAGCCAGTGGCCCCATCAGGAGACACGGGCACTGCTAGCCTGGAAACGGCTGCGGTTACCTTCTCTGAGCTCTGCAGGAAAGTCTGGATAAACCGCATGTGTGCAGCGCGTTCCTCTTCCATCCTTGCCGGACAAAAGGATAGGGGTGAGGAACGAGCAGGGTTGAAAGAAGTGTCTCGGCACTGCGGGGCTGCTGGGGCAGTGGGGAACAACGTGGGCTGCGCTCAGGGGTCTGCGCCAGTCTCTCGCTCCCGCTCTGTCCCGTCACCGTCCTGCCGGACACTGGCACGAAGGATGTGGCCTGCTGACTTTTATACAGTGCCCTGGGGTGTGACCAAGGGCACATCACAAAGGCACGTCACAAAGGGCACCGTGGTGGGTCACGGAGGGCACATCACTAAGGGCACTACAGTGGGTAACGGAGGGCGCGTCACTAAGAGCCTGTCACAAAGGGCACCACGGCAACCTGCCATTCAGAACATGAGAGGCAGGGCGATCCTGGGAGGGGAAAGAGGCCTGTTTCCCCCTGGTCATTTGCGTCCCCTTGGGGTGCCCTGAGCTCCACGTTTTGCTCATGTTAGATGGAGTCTTCTTATGGCAAGATACCCAGCACGTGTCCTAATGTTCAGAGCCAGACTAGTCAAGAGGACTCAAAAAGCCATGAGTAGAACCGTACGCGCACTGGAGACGGCATTAGATGACCGATGTTTTCTTGTCCAAGTCCTGCGTTTAAGAAGTTTAGGGGGTCAGGGATGGCGGGACGCAGAGAGGAACAGCACCTGGGCAGGCTCAAGGGCAGGGCAGCCACAGGCCGCTGAACTGGCGGGGCAATGTTCTAGTATGAATGAAGACCAGAAGGCCTCCCACCTTCCAAAGGTGCCACTAGCATGCTCAGCTCGCCCCTGAAATGCCTGTACGCCAATGCACGCAGCATGGGGAATAAACAGGAGGAGTTAGAAGTCTGTGTGCGGTCTAAAGGTTATGACCTGGTGGCAATTACAGAGACATGGTGGGAGAGCTCGCATGACTGGAATGTGGTTATGGATGGCTATGTCCTTTTTAGGAAAGATAGATCAGCAAAGCGAGATGGTGGAGTTGCTCTTTATGTGAAAGAGTTCTGTCCAGGGGCAGATGAGGACCAGGTGGAAAGTCTGTGGGTGCGAATTAAGGGACAGGCTGGTACGGGGGGCACAGTTGTGGGGGTCTATAACAGACCTCCTGATCAGGACGAAGGAGTTGACGAGGCTTTCTACAGGCAATTGAAAGCAGCCTCACGACTACATGCCTTGGTCCTTATGGGGGATTTTAACTGCCCCGATATTTGCTGGAAGACTTACGCAGCCAGTCGTTCACAGTCTAGGAGGTTCCTCCAGTGCATTGATGATAACTTCTTAATGCAAATGGTGGACGAACCAACTAGGAGAGGAGCGCTGCTGGATCTGGTACTCACCAACAAGGACGGTCTGGTTGAAGTAGTGACGGTCAATGGCAGCCTGGGCTGCAGTGACCATGAGATGGTGGAGTTTAGGATCTTGTGTGGGAGGAATAGAATACCTAGCAAGGCCACATTTCTGGATTTCCAAAGGGCAATCTTTGGCCTCTTCAATCAATTGCTAAGGGAAGTATGATGGCAAAGGGTACTAGGTGGTAAAGGGGCTCAAGATAGTTGGTCAGCATTCAAGAATCATTTCTTCAAAGCTCAGGATCAGAGTGTCCCAATGAGTAGGAAGTCAAGTAGGGGAGCCAGGAGACCAGCATGGTTAAACAAGGAACTGCTGGGCAAACTCGTACGGAAAAAGAGAATCTGTGGATTATGGAAGGAGGGGCTGGCTACTTGGGAGGAATATAGGACAGCTGTTAGAGGATGCAGGGAAGCAATTAGGACAGCTAAGGCCTCCTTGGAACTTAATCTGGCAAGTCGCGTCAAGGACAATAGAAAGGGCTTCTTCAAATACATAGCGAATAAAACTAACACAAGAAGCAGTATAGGCCCACTGCTGAATGAGGTGGGTGCCCTGGAGACAGAGGATATAAGGAAGGCAGAGGTGTTGAATGCCTTCTTTGCCTCTGTCTTTACTCCTGCAGACTCTCCCCGGGGGACCCAGATTCCTATAGCCCCGGAAGGAGTCAGGATAAAGGAGGAGTTTGCTTTGGTAGATGAGGATTGGGTTAGGGATCAGTTAAGTAATCTGGACATCTATAAATCGATGGGTCCGGATGGAATACACCCGCGGGTGCTGAGGGAGCTGGTGGAGGTCATTGCTGAGCCACTCTCCATCATCTTTGGTAAGTCGTGGGAAACAGGTGAGGTGCCTGAGGATTGGAGGATGGCAAATGTCACGCCGGTCTATAAGAAGGGCAAGAAGGAGGACCCGGGTAATTATAGACCGGTCAGCCTTACCTCCATCCCTGGAAAGGTGATGGAACAACTTATCCTTGACACCATCTCTAGGCATATTATCAAGGATGAAGGGGTCATTAAGAGCAGCCAACATGGCTTTACCAAGGGGAAGTCATGTTTGACCAACCGTATATGAGCAAGTAACTAGGTGGGCGGATGATGGTAGAGAAGTAGACGTGGTTTTTCTTGATTTCAGTAAGGCATTTGATACTGTCTCCCACAGCATCCTCATAGATAAGCTAAGGAAGTGTGGGCTTGATGATCAGGTAGTGAGGTGGATCAAGAACTGGTTGGAAGGAAGAAGGCAGTTATGGTCAATGGGGCAGAATCTAGCTGGAGGTCTGTGACTAGTGGAGTCCCTCAGGGGTCGGTGCTGGGACCAGTGCTGTTTAATATTTTCATCAACGACCTGGATGAGGGAACTGAATGTACCCTCAGCAAGTTTGCTGATGATACTAAACTGGGAGGAGTGGCTGACACACCAGAGGGCTGTCTCGCCATTCAGCGAGACCTGGACAGGCTGGAGAGTTGGGTGGAGAGGAACTTGATGAAATTCAACAAGGGCAAGTGTAGAGTCTTGCATCTGGGGAAGAACAACCCCATGTACCAGTACAGGTTGGGGGCTGACCTGCTGGACAGTAGTGAAGGGGAAAGGGACCTGGGGGTCCTGGTGGATAGGAGGATGACTATGAGCCAACAATGTGCCCTTGTGGCCAAGAAGGCCAATGGCATCCTAGGGTGCATTAGAAAGGCTGTGGTTAGTAGGTCAAGAGAGGCACTCCTCCCCCTCTACTCTGCCTTGGTGAGGCCGCATGTGGAATATTGTGTCCAGTTCTGGGCCCCACAGTTCAAGAAGGACAGGGAATTGCTTGAAAGAGTCCAGCGCAGAGCTACAAAGATGATTAAGGGAATGGAACATCTCTCTTATGAGGAGAGGCTGAGGGAGCTGGGACTCCTTAGCTTGGAGGAGACTGAGGGGTGACCTCATCAGTGTTTGCAGATATGTAAAGGGTGAGTGTCAGGATGATGGAGCTAGGTTTTTTCAGTGATGTCCAGTGGTGGGACAAGGGGCAATGGGTGTAAACTGGAGCATAGGAGGTTCCATGTGAACATCAGGAAAACTTTCTTTACTGTGAGAGTGACAGATCACTGGAACAGGTCGCACAGGGTGGGTTGTGGGGTCTCCTACGCTGGAGATACTCAAGGCCCGCCTGGACAAGTTCCTGTGTGATGTACTCTAGGTTACCCTGCTCTTGCAGGAGGGTTGGACTAGATGATCTTTTGAGGTCCCTTCCAACCCTTAGGATTCTGTGATTCTGTGTCTGAATGAACAGGGAGTGAGAGATCTGCTTTCCAAGTCAAACTCTTCACAAAGCAGATAGTCTGAGACCCATAGAAAATATTTACCCCAGCAACACAGATCTCCTTTGCCTGCACGGTGGCACATCCATTGACTGGTTGTCTTCTATCCCTTCAGAAGAAGCAGGATTCCCCGTGGGTTTTTCACCCCGTGAAACAAGCACTGTCTCACATTCCATCCCTTTTCAGAGCAATGGTACCCCAATTTTGCCCAAAAGCGTTGAAAATTGCAGTCCTGTGACCAGGCTCAGCACTACACAAATGGAACAAAGCACCTGAGTGTCTGCCACCTCTAGAAAAACACACGAGTAGTTTTCTCTGAACTGGGCCGCACTACAACAAGCTCAGCTCGCACACCACGGAGATAACAGGCTCCAGCTGAAGCCAAGAACTTCCCAGCTCATGCAGCAGCACTTCACTTACCTGCACAAGGAGGATTTAAATTCCTGAGTGGCCTAATCCCACTCCTGTCCTAAAACCACCCCAACCTTGTCATTAACATCACAGGAAACGTGAAAACACTGTGCACAAGCAGAGTGATTTGCCTGAAGTGACAGAGCAACCCAGGCTGACCCATTCCCTCACTAACAAACGGGAAGTAGAGCAGAACTCAGCTGAACAACACCAGAGCAATGAGGGCATTCAGTTACCCACAAACATAAGACAACCCAGACCCGTCATAAACGCTGAACTACAGTTGGCCTGTGCAACAACCCAGGTGGGCCTGCAGTGAAGTAGCGCATTTGACTGCACCAGTGGGTGCCTTTCCCCAGCAGCTATTCACTTCCACACACAGATTTTTGGGCTCTTCTCAGACAAAGCACTTGCATGCTCAGTTGCCTTCTTTTGGGGTTTGGAGGTGGAGAACTGAATGACAATTCAAATGCTGATCCCAAAAGCAACTGCAGAATAGATGTAAAACCTGTGCAGCCATAAGGGCACCAAGCAAGTTGTCCTGGGTTCAGCATTAGCAGTCATTTTTCTCCTTCTTTGTAGCTGGGAACAGATCTGATAACAATGATGTTTTGGTTTGGCCAAGGACTTTGTGAGCCTCATGCTCTGCCAGGGAGGAGGGGAAGCCGGGAGGAAGCAGAGGCAGGACACCTGACCCAAACTGACCAAAGAGGTATTCCATACCACAGCACGTCATGCCCAGGATGTAACTGATGGTTACCCGGAGGGGCTAAGACTGCAGGGTTGGAGGAGGCATCGGTCGGTGCTTGGTTGGGCTGGGGGGGCGAGCTGGCAGTCGGCTGGCGGTGAGGTGCTGTATTCTCTTCCCTTGTTCTTTCCTTTATCATTGTTATTATTGGTGGTGGCAGTGGTGGTTTGTGTTCTACCTTAGTTGCTAGACCGTTCTTGTCTCAACCCGTGGGAGTTGCATTCTTTTCGATTCTCGTCTCCGTCCCTCCGGGAGTAGGGGGAGGGTGGGAAGGGAGGGAGGGAGTGAACGAGTTGCCTGACTGGGTTTAAACCACGACACAAGTATAGAAGAAGATCCAGGTATCCACGGCAAAACGGTTGCTAACGGCGGCCCGGCCGCAGACACGGTCCGTCCTCAGAGAACCTGTCCCACTGCTACTGCCTCGGGTGAGCACCAGGGGAGGACCAGATTGGATACTCCTTCCGCTAAAGGCGGCGCTGACCATTGTGTCCCCGCAGAGCCCCGCCACAGACCTGCCGGTACCCGCTGCCACTGGACCGGTGCCCTGGGATGATTTTCCTGCCGGTACTATCAGGTGCCCAGGGGCTTGCCATGGGCCCGCCACCCAGACCCGCTCTGCAGCAAAACAGGAACCTATTCTCTCCTTCCCACTCTGCCTTGCCCAGTCGGCTCAGGGGAAAGGTTTCTTCCAGGTTGTATCAGGAGGGAAGAGTTTGCTTTGGCTGTGGGGACCTCAGAACAACTGGGTTCTGAGAGGTCCTGAGAGGAGAGGGAAGGAGGTAGCAAAGAATAGTGCCGGACTTGTGGTGAGCATTCAGCTTCTGCAGCAAAACAGTGCCTGGGATGCTGTGGGAAGCAGCTGTAAGAGCTGAAGGAGGGACAGGACGGGCTGCCTCGTATGTGAGCAGTGCTCTTGGCTGGAGCAGGGCAGCCAAAGCACCGCTGCACAGGGGGCACCCCGTGTCCAGCCTCGGGATTCTCCTCACCAAACACTCCCCAGTTTGCAACCATGGCCAGGTGGGTACGTGGAGCCAGGACGCAACCGCTGCCCAGCGGCTGCTGCGTGGCCTTCCATGCTGCTTGCGAAGGACACCATGGCCTTGGAATTGTGGTTGGAGCTTTAATCAAAAAGTCACATTTTCTTAAGCAGGGCTTAACTGCTGCCTGGCTTTTCAGAGTCAGGAGCACAACGCCTACAGGGTCCGCCACCGTCTTTTCTGCATCCATATACAGGTCAGGATGTATATTGTCTGTTGTACCAGGGATGAGACCTGACATTCCTCTTCTCCTGTCAAAGGATGGAGTGCTGCAACAGACGGAAAAAGAGCAGAGCTGAAACCCACTGATCTGCAGAGACCCACAGGCATCTCTTCCAGACCATGCCAGCCCCAACCATCCCTTTCCCTGGTCAGGAGGCGCAGGCAGACAAATGGATCACCTGGAAGCTGCTGCTCAGGATTACAGCAAATGCCCCCAAGATGTTCCCTGGAGCAGGACAGCAGGACAGCACGCTGCCCAGGCTCTGTCCCCTGTCCCCGCCAGCCCCATCACACACAGCACTGCCCCTACTCACCCTTGAAGATCTCCTGCAGCGTGTCCTTGCTGCTGTCATTCAGGTACCGCGCAGCCAGTCCTGTGCAGAGAGCTCGGTCAGACCTGCTGCCGCCCAGCACACTCCTGGTATCGTGGCCCCGGCTCTGAAGGTTGGGCTGAACCCCTTCCCTCCCCTCAGCGGGGTGACCCCAGGGAAGGACAGGACCCGAGGGGAGGTGCCACTGAGCAAGGTGCCACTGAGCCCTGCTGCCAGGGCAGGGGTAGGAGGGGGAAGCACAGAGCCCCTGGCTGCACAGGCCCTGTACAGGGCAGCTGGGGCTCTGGCAGCTACAGGGCTGCTCCTCGCTGCCAGTGCAGCAGATGGGACTGGGGCCAGGCTGCCATAAGGGGGACTCCAGGGACTGCAGCTCACCGATGAACCTCACGGCTGCCATTCGCACGGTGACCTGAGCGTGCTGCAGATAAGGCATGCTTTGACGCACATATTCTTCAGCCCTGCTCCGCTTGTGCTCCAGCTGGAGAGAGCAAAAGGGCGCAGGGATGATACACACCCTCCCCAGTTACCTGGGACAGTCCCCCTTCCCAGCACCCCACACACCCCCCTTCATCCTCAGGACATTTGCATCTCCCAGCAAGGAGCCCTGTGGGGCTGAGGTTCAGAGACAGCTACATGCAAAGCAGGGTCTGGAGGTCCCGAGAGCCCTCTGTGCCGCTGCAAGGGCCCAGATGGGTCTCCTGCAACATCCTGAGGGTGGAGAGGTGAGCCCTTGGGAGCTCTGCCTGAGGGCAGGGAAGGAGGATGCAGCACCAGGCTGCAGGCTCTGGGCTGAAGCACTGCAGGCGAGGCACCACTGCACAGGGGGCACCCCATGTACAGCCTGGGACTTATCCTCACCAAGCGCTCCACAGTTCTCCATCTCTCCAGTGCCTGCACGTGGTGACTGAGCCATTTCCATTTGAGCACCTTTGCAGCTACACAGAAGGTTTCGTGAGAGGCCTGCAGAGGAGGACAACGATTGGGGAGATTGTGGACAGGGCTTGCGGCCCAAAGCCCTGGCCCCCAGCACCTGCAGGGACAGCTGGGTAGTCCCTGGGGACTCTGCTCTTCAGGCCTTGGTGGCCATGGGCTGCTGTTGAGCCCTGCTGGACCACATAGGGCAGGCGTGGCAAATGTCCCTGCCAGCTTCCCCTGCCCTCCCCGCTGCCCAGGCCACCCCCGCGGGCTCAGCATGCCCTTCCCCACACCACTGCTCAGGTTTGCAATCTGTACCTTGGCCACACTCTCAGTCTCATCACTCATGTGCAACACGAGTGGGACCAGGCTCCCCTGCACGTTCTTCCGCATCTGCCGCTGGTGCTTCCAATCCGCCATCTGTATTACTTCTTTGAATAGGCAGATGGAGAGCTCTCGCACCTGGCTGGACACCTGGTGAGGAGGAGGAGGACAGAAGGGCGTCAGTAGCAGCAGCTCCCTGAGCAAGGGCGTCAGCGTGGCTGAGGGGAGGGGTTTCAGGTCTCCCAGAGCCATCAGCAAGTCAGGGAGAAGCTGAGCTGGGCTGCAGAGCCCAGAAGGCATCCCCGTGAGAGCGCAGGGGCATGAGGAGGGGCACAGCCGCATGGAAGTGCTGCCGCCAGGCTCTGCTAACAGGCACTTGTCCTTGCAAAGGGCCCATCAGTGAGGATCAGGCTTCCATAGCAGCCTTACATCATCAAACAGTTGCGGGAGATTCTCGGCCAGCTGCAGAGCAGTGGAGCTGTCCTTCTTCTTCAAATGACCCATCACATTTCTGAAAATGAGCAGCATCTTCTTTCTGTTCTTACTGTGGGCTGTCTGCAGCATGTATATCAAATCTGGCAGCAGGACCAGTATTTTCTTTGCCTGTACAAAGCACAGAATTCCTTGTATGTTAAGTGGCGAAGGACCACCCAGGCCAAAATGCTCTGGCCCTTAAGCACCAGACTCCTGCCTGGCTGACTGGGCAGTGGCACAGGAATCCCTGCAGCAGCCTCCTGGCAGGCCATCCCCATGGTGCACTGAGGGGATCGGGGCCTGTGACTGGACGTTGAGGGCATTTGGTGCCGTGACCCCAGCTCCCGATTCCCAGCCCTGGTCAAGCCGCCGCGTTACCCACTGCCCAGCCCCAGGAGGCCAACACGGCTTCCCTTGCCTATGCCCTGCTCACCGTGTCAGGTGACTGTGACAACGTGATGAGGCCTGTGAGCGTCAGCGAGAACAGCACCACATTTTGACACCACGGGAACTTCTCCCTGTTGTACACCCCAGCGAATTCCTCTGGTGTCACATCGCTGCAGGCCAGGAGCTGAAACAAAGATGGCAGTGAGGGACCGGCCGAGCCTGCAGGGCTCCCGGCACTGTGCAGCTCCTGGGTCCCGCTGGCAGCTCAGGACAAGGGCACCGGGGACAGAGAGCCCGTGCTGGGGGACACCAGCCGCACACCACACGCTTGTCTGTGCCGGCTCTGCTGGTGTAAGCAGAGCACTGACAGGGACTTTGTGCACCCGCACCCAAGCAGCGTGGCATGGCCCTGTGTGGCTGGCACAGGGGAACCTGGCGCTGGGCTGGCCCTAACGGGCTGCATCCCTGTTTCCCAGAGGAGGTGACTGTTTGGGGGCAGATGGCAGGGAAGAGGGCTGTGCCTGTGTTTCTGGAGAGGCAGGCACAGCCCTGAGTATGAGCAAGGACTGGTCTGGTTACTCACAGCCAAGAGCCGGATACAGAACTTCACTCTGCAGAATCTGCTTCCTATACGTAACTGCAGGTGCTGGAGGTTCCTTCTCAGCTCCCTCAAGACCTTCACCAAGATGAGGGGCTGGGACAGCAGCGCTTCCCACATGGCCTGAGCAACTTTGCTGAAAGAGAACACTGTCAGCAGGGCTGCCTTGGCCACCACACGGTGCCTGGGCCAGCCCTGCAGCAGCCAGGCTGTGCTGCAGCCCTGGCCCTTCCTGACCCCTCACTGGGAGTGCCCAGGTCCCAGATGGGGCAGGCAGGAGGGGGCTGAAACTGTTCCCTGTGGGGCAGGGAGGAAACTCGTGGCAGGCCTCGGGTCTGGCTTGGACAGCTTTGGCTACTGCAGGCCTGGCCAACCCAGCAGGGCAGGAGAGAGTGATGGGGTACAGGGCCCAGCTCCTCAGGGGTGTCCTGCAGTTTTCTGTGGGCCTCCACGTCCCTCTCCCCACATGGAACAAACCCACAAGGGCTGTGGGGGTCAGTACCTGTTACATGCTGGAGAGATATCTATAAGGCTCAAGATCATCTCCCTGGGGTTCTGCTGTGCCATGCTTAGAAACAGCGACTTCAGGCTGCACCGGGCTGATGCTGCACTGATGTGCTGCAAGTTGTTATAGATGCAGCGCGTGATGAACCACACCTGGAGAGCACACGGGTGAGGGTGGTGCTGCCACCAGACTGCAGCCATTTCCTCAGCTGCTGCTGAAACAGCTGCCCTTCCCATCCTACTCTACTGGCATGAAATGGCTTCAAGGTGCCTGAAGCACCCGGGTGAGGGGAGATGGGATGTAGGGAGGAACAGTGCCTGGAAGGACTGGAGGACAGGGCAGCCACAGGCTGCTTACCTCTGTCAGCCAGGAGGCAGGTTCTGTCATGGCCACGTTCAGGATGCTGATCAGCTCCTCCTTGTCACATACACATGGGTCTCTCATGGCCTGTATGGCCCTGAGGATGATGACTGTCTTATCAGCAGGGTGGAGGTATTCCCCAAATGCCTGCAGGAAGGAGGAAGGCGGGGAAGACGTGTTACACTGAGTGCCCTGATAGTGCTGCTCAGCTGGGCAGTGAGAGCAGCTCTGGCGAGAGGACCCACGGGAAAGCTGGCAGCAGGGGCTGCAGTCGTTGCAGAGGATAAGAAGAGAGGTCCCTAGGTGAGAGAGGAGGGACCCTGGAGTGCAGCCCTCTGAAGTCCCTGCTCCAGAACAGCAGCAACCCTCTGACCAGGGACAGTGAGGTCATGCCAAGCCCGCTGGTTCTGGATCCCTTTGCTTGCACCAGTCTCGTTCTGATGCCCCAGACAAGAGGCCCAGCAAGGAAGAAGCTCATTACCTTTGCCATGCTCCTCGTGCTGCACAGAGAAAGACAGGAGGGTTTCCCTGCTTCCCTCTTCCCTCCAGCCTGGGGATGCTCTGGATGATCATGACAATTGTCTGGTTGAGGTGACGTCATGCCTAAACATGAGGGGATCACGGAAGAGTCATTAGGACACAGCACTGATTACCATCAGTGACAGCTTTGGCTATGGGGACCATGGAACTGCTGGGTTCTGAGAGGCCCTGAGAAGAGTGGGAAGGAGAGCAGCAAAGAGCAGTGCCGGACTTGTGGTGAGCACTCGGCTTCTGCAGCAAAACAATAGCTGGGATGCTGCGGGAAGCAGCTGTGACGGGCAAAGGAGGTGAGGGAAGAGGGCAGGCTGCCCTGGACAGCCTCCAGCAAGCACAAAAAGAATCCACTACAATACTTGGGGAAACAAGCAGGACTATGAGGAGACGTCTGTGTGTGGAGGGATGAAGCCCACAGAGCTTCTCTTACATTTTTGGTGCTGGATGAATATGGAGAGGTGATGAAGAGCAACCAAAGCCTCCTGCTGGATCGCCCAGATCTTGCTAGTCCAGCAAACAATGAGACATCCCAGCAGCCGTCCCAGCAAGCGGTCCTTGCTGATGTCATGGTGGGAAGAGCTGTGGTCGTGTCCAAGCAAGCTCCAGACCTGGGCAAGGGAGGCAGGACAGGTAGAAGGGCTGAGGGGCAGCAGCGCAACAAAAGCTCCGAAGCTGAGACTGCCCCAGGGAAGGATCCTGGAGGGTCGGAGTTGTGCAGGGCCCTCCCAGAGCAGCGAGCTGGGCAGCCGGGCAGGGAGAGCTGCCAGGCCTGGCCTCCCGCCATGCTCCTTGGGCAGTGCTGACCTGCACAGGACTGGGGGCCAAGATGGCTGCTGGCAGAAAGGGCACTGGGGAGGAAAAAACATGGGAAAAAGAGAAGCCGAGACCCTTGCCCAGGGCAGAGCCGTGCTGAATGCCTCAGGCATCTTGAGCCGCAGGCTGCTGCCCACGGTGGGCAGGGAATGGGAGACAGCCTGGCTGGAGGGTGCGGGCCTCCCTACCTGCACTGAGGAAGAGCTGGCCATCAAATCAGCCAGCTTTGCGATCCTTGCCACGGCCCATTCACATACAGCTGGGTGCTTGATGTTGGTGAAGGGCAGCAGCATCTGGAAGGAGAGAAAGTGCTGCTGTGCCCTGGGAGCTGGTGCCCGTGCCAGCAGCAGCAGCAGCAGCACTGCTCAAGTCCTGGCTGGACTCATGCAGTCCTTGTGGCCCTGAAGGGAGGCAGATACCACCCCAGGGTAGAGTCTGCTTCTTTCTGTGCCCTCCCCGTGAGCACAGGCCTGTGTTCCCTCTCCGTGAAGGCTGGGCTTTTGGGCAGCACCCTCCCGGGGGGCGGTGATCCTGCAATGGGGGAATGGGCGTACGGCTCCCTGAGAAGTCAGGAGCGCCGAACTTCAGAGCTGGGCTCCCTGTGCAGGACAGGCAGGTCCCAGTGGGTCTCTGCCCCGGTCAGACCTGGGCAGAAAAGCAGGAGGGACTGCGAGGCATGGGAAGAAGGGCAGCACCCGCTGCCACTGCTGCGGTGCCTGAGGAGAGGGGTCAGTGCCTCCCGCTGCTTTGGTGCGAGGAAAGTTCTGGGGATGGAGCTGGCCCACAAGTGCCACGGGCCAGGCTTTGCCATGGCACGGGAGGAGGCTGCAGATGGGAAGTGGGGTTGACTGCAGCCAGGGGACACAGGCTCCTGGAAGAGCACGGTGGGCCATGTCTGGGTTCCCTGAGTGCTGAGCACCCTCCCTGCAGCGTGCTGTGGGCATGGCGCTGCGAGGACACAGTGTGCTCAGAGCGGATGCTCCCTTCCCTCCAGGGAGAGGAACAGCACCTCCCAGCCCTGCTCTCTGCAAATGCCACACCTGCAAAATTCTCCACAGGTCCCTGGAGCCCGGGGAGCTGAGCACCAAGCTCTCCAGCAGGACGTCCACGGCATCCAGGGTCTGCAAGGAGGAAAACGGTCACGTCAGTCTTTCTGCAGTCCCTCTCTCCCCGGGGATGGATCTAACCCCCCACGCCATGGGGAAGGCACCCCTGCCACCTCTAGGTGGCCAAGGGACACCTTGAAGCAGACAAGTTGCAGTGGGCAGAGGAGCCAGTCCAGAGGCACTGGACATGGCAAGGCCCACAAGAAGGAGACACAAACAGGCAGCGTGAGAAGGGGGGCACGTGGCCAGCGGGACTGGAGCAGTGGGGCTGCAGTGCTGTGCAGGAGACCCGGGGGAGCAGCTCTGCCCAGCCAGCAGCCCCCAGCAGCCTGGCAGCAGAGCCAGTGGCCCCATCAGGAGACACGGGCACTGCTAGCCTGGAAACGGCTGCGGTTACCTTCTCTGAGCTCTGCAGGAAAGTCTGGATAAACCGCATGTGTGCAGCGCGTTCCTCTTCCATCCTTGCCGGACAAAAGGATAGGGGTGAGGAACGAGTAGGGTTGAAAGAAGTGTCTCGGCACTGCGGGGCTGCTGGGGCAGTGGGGAACAACGTGGGCTGCGCTCAGGGGTCTGCGCCAGTCTCTCGCTCCCGCTCTGTCCCGTCACCGTCCTGCCGGACACTGGCACGAAGGATGTGGCCTGCTGACTTTTATACAGTGCCCTGGGGTGTGACCAAGGGCACATCACAAAGGCACGTCACAAAGGGCACCGTGGTGGGTCACGGAGGGCACATCACTAAGGGCACTACAGTGGGTAACGGAGGGCGCATCACTAAGGGCCTGTCACAAAGGGCACCACGGCAACCTGCCATTCAGAACATGAGAGGCAGGGCGATGCTGGGAGGGGAAAGAGGCCTGTTTCCCCCAGTCAATTGCATCCCCTTGGGGTGCCCTGAGCTCCACGTTTTGCTCATGTTAGATGGAGTCTTCTTATGGCAAGATACCCAGCACGTGTCCTAATGTTCAGAGCCAGACTAGTCAAGAGGACTCAAAAACCCATGAGTAGAACCGTACGCGCACTGGAGACGCGCACTGGAGACTGCTCAGACGGCATTAGATGACCGATGTTTTCTTGTCCAAGTCCTGCGTTTAGGGGGTCAGGGATGGCAGGACGCAGAGAGGAACAGCACCTGGGCAGGCTCAAGGGCAGGGCAGCCACAGGCCCCTGTGGCAGAGGGGGACCGGCAGGACGTGGCAGAGAGGGACCGGCGGCTCCTGGCCAAACGGCTGCGCTCCAACTGGGAGCAGAGGCACGCATGGGAGTTCCAGCGGCTGCGGGAGCTCACCCAGCGGCAGGAGCAGATCTGCCAGCTGCTGCGCTCCAAGGAGGCAGCGCGGTGCAAGCTGCAGGGGAAATGCAGCACCAGCACGCCGCCGCCCGTCAGGCACAGAGCCTGCAGCAGCAGCTGGAGAAGGAGCTGGCCAGAGGAGCCTGGAGCAGCAGCGAGGCCCGCGGTGAGCTCCGGAACGAACTCAGCAAGCTGCGCTGGGAGAACAGGAAGGAGCAGCCGCCCACAGCCACCACTCCCAACGAGCTGCTGCTGCTGCTGCAGAGGAGCTTCTTCCTAACGTCCAACTCGGAGCCGTTCGAAGGCGAGCAGCCAGATGGCTGCGGCGAGGCCAAGGCCAGGGCCTGGCACCATCTGCAGCCCCTCCTGAGCTGCGGGTCCATAGGGCCCTGCCCATTGTGGAGCCTCGTGGCACACAGCTCCCGCAGCGGGCAGCCCACGGGCACTTCCAAACTGGACTGTGCCACGCTGTGGGAATCCCGCCACAAGCAAGGGCCGGGCCGGGCCTGGCTGCTTCACAGGTGCACAGTGCTCTGGGCTCCAGCGGGGAAGGTGAGGTCCAGGGCATAGGAGCCACCCCATCTCCAGCCTGGGGCCTTCCTCACCAAGCACTCCACAGTTCTCCATCTCTCCAGTGCCTGCACGTGGTGACTGAGCCACGTCCGTCTGAGCACCTTCGCAGCTACACAGAGGTCTTTGTGAGAGGCCTGCAGAGGGGGACAAGGACTGGGGAGATTGTGGACAGGGCTTGCGGCCCAAAGCCCTGGCCCCCAGCACCTGCAGGGACAGCTGGGAAGCCCCTGGGGACTCTGCTCTTCAGGCCTTGGTGGCCATGGGCTGCTGCTGAGCCCTGCTGGACCACATAGGGCAGGCGTGGCAAATGTCCCTGCCAGCTTCTCCTGCCCTCCCTGCTGCCCAGGCAACCCCCGTGCGCTCAGCACGCCCTGTGGTGTGCACAACACAACCGGACTGGGCCCTGGTGGCCACCAGCACCCAGTGTCAGCACACCCAGCACCAGGCGGCTGGGCTCTGCACAGCTCTTGAAACCACTTCCTCTGGGCACCAAGTCTGAGGAGCATGTATGCTACTATTTCCTATGCTATTATTATATTCTAATATTATTCTAGTATATTATTATGCTATTATTTTTCCTATGTATGCTATTTCATATGACTGGAAAGAGTTGCCGGTTGGGAACTCCAGGGAGGAAGGGGTGGAGGCTTTAGTATAGAATTTCTAGCTGTTTACATGACGAAGGAAAGGAAGGGGGTGAACGTGTCTCCTCAGCACCTACAGTAGTAGCCCATCAAGCCAGGATCAGCTCCATGTCTTTCCAGGTCAGGAATGGTACGTGTGAGTAAAGAAGTACCAAAATGACCTGTTAGGTATACGGAAGAGCGGGGTTTCACCTTTAAGACAGTGGTTAATGCGAATACAAATTGTGTTAAAACCGTTCTTCTTTCAGGCTTTCATTTACCATTCTCCTCTTATTCCCCAGTGATGCTCTTGTTGGCTTACTTTAGAAGATGAAAACATTGCAATACAGCCCTGTGCAACGCTGCTGTTCCAGCTATCACTGCACTCAGTCTCTTGGCAATGTTTTATGTGCATTTTAAGTTAGCTTCTGTTACCTGATTCAGTGCCAGCTGTCTCAGAACAGGGCAGGATGGATTAGGTTCATTAAATGTGCAGTATTTTTCTTTCCTCTCTGGTCCTCTCATTCAAGCACTGTCACTTCTTGGGTTGGGGGAGAGGAAAATGAAACTGCTCGTGTTTGAGCAACCTAGATATTGGAGAAACTCAGCAGTAACCTTGACTTCCAGGCAAGAAAAGAAAGAAAAGGTTGTGAAACTAGAAGGTGAGAAGAACAAATATTTGTAAGAGCATGTCAGCAATTGTGTTGTCAGAACAAATCTAGCCCGTGCTGAGCTGCATTCAGAATATTCTGAGATACTCTTGATACAAATTGAAGCTTTTAATTCAAAAACAGCTCTTGCAACTGCACTTCTAAAACTGCTTTTTAGATGGCTCTAAAAAACCCAAGGGAAGTATGAGCTTTACACCCTTTATTCTGTAAGTGACCAAACCTGGTTGTCGTCTTCACGTCACACCTGTAGCAGCAACACTTCTCGCTCTAAGAAACATGTTTTGTAATGTTTTTTGCAGACATGCGGCCGTGCAGGTCCCTGGCTGCAGTGAATGCCTGAGCCTGGCACTTGTATCAGAGAGAGCCAGGGACACCGCTTGTGTGCAGTGTCAGCAAATAGATGACCTGCTAGAGCAGGTGGTTGAACTGAGGGAAGACGTTGAAAGGTTGAGAGCTATCAGAGAGTGTGAAAGTGAAATTGATTGGTGGAGCCACACCCTAAGGCAAGGGCAGAGGGAAGTGGTTGAACAAGTGATAGATCCCCTTCCCTCCTACCATCAGACAGAAGGAGTAAACTTAAGGGACAAGGAAGTATGGAGGGAGGTCCCTCCTCGGAGAGGTATGCGAAAACCCTCGCAATCCCTTCCTTCCTCCCAGTTGCCCTTGAGCAACAGGTATGAGGTCTTGGAACTACAGGGCCAGGTAAATGGTGATGGAGGGGTAGATCCATCCAGTAAGTCACCTAGGGCTTGTCACTCACCCCCATGCCTTAGAACTTCCTCAACAAAGAAGAGTAATTGTGGTGGGTGACTCCCTTCTGAGGGGAACAGAAGGGCCCATTTGTCGACCTGATCCATCCCACAGGGAAGTCTGCTGCCTACCTGGGGCTCAGATTGGAGATGTTAAAAGGAAACTCTCTGATCTGGTGCAGCCCTCTGACTACTATCCGCTGCTGGTTTTTCAGGTTGGCAGCGATGAAATTATTACAAGCAAGGCAAGGGCAACGAAGAGAGACTTCAGGGCCCTGGGACGGCTGGTTAGAGGGTGTGGAGCACAAGTGGTGTTTGCCTCCATACCTGTTACTAGCAAAGGTGAAGAGATAAATAGGAAGAGACTGCAGATCAATATATGGCTATGGGACTGGTGCCAAAGGCAGGGGTTTGGGTTTTTCAATCATAGGCTGCTATATGAGACACCTGGTTTGCTGGTGGCAGGTGGGATACATCAGTCCCAGAGGGGGAGAAGGTTTCTGGGGCAGGAGTTAGCAGGGCTCATTGACAGGGCTTTAAACTAGGTAGGAAGGGGGAAGGGGAGATGATAACTGGGCCTGTTGGGGACAGGCCCAAGAGAAACATGCTAGGGCTTGAAGAATGGCAGACTAGGGAGAACTCTCAATCTATTGTTTCATTTGCGGGAAAGGGTAGTTGTTTAAACCCTGTCCTGCAGGGAAAAAGGGTATCTGGGCAAGAGTTAGTAGAGCTCACTCACAGAGCTCTAAGTTAGATTCGAAGTGCGATGGGGTTGTAGCTGGGTTTGAACTAGCGGGGCAATGTTCTAGTATGAATGAAGACCAGAAGGCATCCCGCCTTCCAAATGTGCCACTAGCGTGCTCAGCTCGCCCCTGAAATGCCTGTACGCCAATGCACGCAGCATGGGGAATAAACAGGAGGAGTTAGAAGTCTGTGTGCGGTCTAAAGGTTATGACCTGGTGGCAATTACAGAGAAATGGTGGGACAGCTCGCATGACTGGAATGTGGTTATGGATGGCTATGTCCTTTTTAGGAAAGATAGATCAGCAAAGCGAGATGGTGGAGTTGCTCTTTATGTGAAAGAGTTCTGTCCAGGGGCAGATGAGGACCAGGTGGAAAGTCTGTGGGTGCGAATTAAGGGACAGGCTGGTACGGGGGGCACAGTTGTGGGGGTCTATTACAGACCTCCTGATCAGGACGAAGGAGTTGACGAGGCTTTCTACAGGCAATTGAAAGCAGCCTCACGACTACATGCCTTGGTCCTTATGGGGGATTTTAACTACCCCGATATTTGCTGGAAGACTTACGCAGCCAGTCGTTCACAGTCTAGGAGGTTCCTCCAGTGCATTGATGATAACTTCTTAATGCAAATGGTGGACGAACCAACTAGGAGAGGAGCGCTGCTGGATCTGGTACTCACCAACAAGGACGGTCTGGTTGAAGTAGTGACGGTCAATGGCAGCCTGGGCTGCAGTGACCATGAGATGGTGGAGTTTAGGATCTTGTGTGGGAGGAATAGAATACCTAGCAAGGCCACATTTCTGGATTTCCAAAGGGCAATCTTTGGCCTCTTCAATCAATTGCTAAGGGAAGTATGATGGCAAAGGGTACTAGGTGGTAAAGGGGCTCAAGATAGTTGGTCAGCATTCAAGAATCATTTCTTCAAAGCTCAGGATCAGAGTGTCCCAATGAGTAGGAAGTCAAGTAGGGGAGCCAGGAGACCAGCATGGTTAAACAAGGAACTGCTGGGCAAACTCGTACGGAAAAAGAGAATCTGTGGATTATGGAAGGAGGGGCTGGCTACTTGGGAGGAATATAGGACAGCTGTTAGAGGATGCAGGGAAGCAATTAGGACAGCTAAGGCCTCCTTGGAACTTAATCTGGCAAGTCGCGTCAAGGACAATAGAAAGGGCTTCTTCAAATACATAGCGAATAAAACTAACACAAGAAGCAGTATAGGCCCACTGCTGAATGAGGTGGGTGCCCTGGAGACAGAGGATATAAGGAAGGCAGAGGTGTTGAATGCCTTCTTTGCCTCTGTCTTTACTCCTGCAGACTCTCCCCGGGGGACCCAGATTCCTATAGCCCCGGAAGGAGTCAGGATAAAGGAGGAGTTTGCTTTGGTAGATGAGGATTGGGTTAGGGATCAGTTAAGTAATCTGGACATCTATAAATCGATGGGTCCGGATGGAATACACCCGCGGGTGCTGAGGGAGCTGGTGGAGGTCATTGCTGAGCCACTCTCCATCATCTTTGGTAAGTCGTGGGAAACAGGTGAGGTGCCTGAGGATTGGAGGATGGCAAATGTCACGCCGGTCTATAAGAAGGGCAAGAAGGAGGACCCGGGTAATTATAGACCGGTCAGCCTTACCTCCATCCCTGGAAAGGTGATGGAACAACTTATCCTTGACACCATCTCTAGGCATATTATCAAGGATGAGGGGGTCATTAAGAGCAGCCAACATGGCTTTACCAAGGGGAAGTCATGTTTGACCAACCGTATATGAGCAAGTAACTAGGTGGGCGGATGATGGTAGAGAAGTAGACGTGGTTTTTCTTGATTTCAGTAAGGCATTTGATACTGTCTCCCACAGCATCCTCATAGATAAGCTAAGGAAGTGTGGGCTTGATGATCAGGTAGTGAGGTGGATCAAGAACTGGTTGGAAGGAAGAAGGCAGAGAGTTATGGTCAATGGGGCAGAATCTAGCTGGAGGTCTGTGACTAATGGAGTCCCTCAGGGGTCGGTGCTGGGACCAGTGCTGTTTAATATTTTCATCAACGACCTGGATGAGGGAACTGAATGTACCCTCAGCAAGTTTGCTGATGATACTAAACTGGGAGGAGTGGCTGACACACCAGAGGGCTGTCTCGCCATTCAGCGAGACCTGGACAGGCTGGAGAGTTGGGCGGAGAGGAACTTGATGAAATTCAACAAGGGCAAGTGTAGAGTCTTGCATCTGGGGAAGAACAACCCCATGTACCAGTACAGGTTGGGGGCTGACCTGCTGGACAGTAGTGAAGGGGAAAGGGACCTGGGGGTCCTGGTGGATAGGAGGATGACTATGAGCCAACAATGTGCCCTTGTGGCCAAGAAGGCCAATGGCATCCTAGGGTGCATTAGAAAGGCTGTGGTTAGTAGGTCAAGAGAGGCACTCCTCCCCCTCTACTCTGCCTTGGTGAGGCCGCATGTGGAATATTGTGTCCAGTTCTGGGCCCCACAGTTCAAGAAGGACAGGGAATTGCTTGAAAGAGTCCAGCGCAGAGCTACAAAGATGATTAAGGGAATGGAACATCTCTCTTATGAGGAGAGGCTGAGGGAGCTGGGACTCCTTAGCTTGGAGGAGACTGAGGGGTGACCTCATCAGTGTTTGCAGATATGTAAAGGGTGAGTGTCAGGATGATGGAGCTAAGTTTTTTCAGTGATGTCCAGTGGTGGGACAAGGGGCAATGGGTGTAAACTGGAGCATAGGAGGTTCCATGTGAACATCAGGAAAACTTTCTTTACTGTGAGAGTGACAGATCACTGGAACAGGTCGCACAGGGTGGGTTGTGGGGTCTCCTACGCTGGAGATACTCAAGGCCCGCCTGGACAAGTTCCTGTGTGATGTACTCTAGGTTACCCTGCTCTTGCAGGAGGGTTGGACTAGATGATCTTTTGAGGTCCCTTCCAACCCTTAGGATTCTGTGATTCTGTGTCTGAATGAACAGGGAGTGAGAGATCTGCTTTCCAAGTCAAACTCTTCACAAAGCAGATAGTCTGAGACCCATAGAAAATATTTACCCCAGCAACACAGATCTCCTTTGCCTGCACGGTGGCACATCCATTGACTGGTTGTCTTCTATCCCTTCAGAAGAAGCAGGATTCCCCGTGGGTTTTTCACCCCGTGAAACAAGCACTGTCTCACATTCCATCCCTTTTCAGAGCAATGGTACCCCAATTTTGCCCAAAAGCGTTGAAAATTGCAGTCCTGTGACCAGGCTCAGCACTACACAAATGGAACAAAGCACCTGAGTGTCTGCCACCTCTAGAAAAACACACGAGTAGTTTTCTCTGAACTGGGCCGCACTACAACAAGCTCAGCTCGCACACCACGGAGATAACAGGCTCCAGCTGAAGCCAAGAACTTCCCAGCTCATGCAGCAGCACTTCACTTACCTGCACAAGGAGGATTTAAATTCCTGAGTGGCCTAATCCCACTCCTGTCCTAAAACCACCCCAACCTTGTCATTAACATCACAGGAAACGTGAAAACACTGTGCACAAGCAGAGTGATTTGCCTGAAGTGACAGAGCAACCCAGGCTGACCCATTCCCTCACTAACAAACGGGAAGTAGAGCAGAACTCAGCTGAACAACACCAGAGCAATGAGGGCATTCAGTTACCCACAAACATAAGACAACCCAGACCCGTCATAAACGCTGAACTACAGTTGGCCTGTGCAACAACCCAGGTGGGCCTGCAGTGAAGTAGCGCATTTGACTGCACCAGTGGGTGCCTTTCCCCAGCAGTTATTCACTTCCACACACAGATTTTTGGGCTCTTCTCAGACAAAGCACTTGCATGCTCAGTTGCCTTCTTTTGGGGTTTGGAGGTGGAGAACTGAATGACAATTCAAATGCTGATCCCAAAAGCAACTGCAGAATAGATGTAAAACCTGTGCAGCCATAAGGGCACCAAGCAAGTTGTCCTGGGTTCAGCATTAGCAGTCATTTTTCTCCTTCTTTGTAGCTGGGAACAGATCTGATAACAATGATGTTTTGGTTTGGCCAAGGACTTTGTGAGCCTCATGCTCTGCCAGGGAGGAGGGGAAGCCGGGAGGAAGCAGAGGCAGGACACCTGACCCAAACTGACCAAAGAGGTATTCCATACCACAGCACGTCATGCCCAGGATGTAACTGATGGTTACCCGGAGGGGCTAAGACTGCAGGGTTGGAGGAGGCATCGGTCGGTGCTTGGTTGGGCTGGGGGGGCGAGCTGGCAGTCGGCTGGCGGTGAGGTGCTGTATTCTCTTCCCTTGTTCTTTCCTTTATCATTGTTATTATTGGTGGTGGCAGTGGTGGTTTGTGTTCTACCTTAGTTGCTAGACCGTTCTTGTCTCAACCCGTGGGAGTTGCATTCTTTTCGATTCTCGTCTCCGTCCCTCCGGGAGTAGGGGGAGGGTGGGAAGGGAGGGAGGGAGTGAACGAGTTGCCTGACTGGGTTTAAACCACGACACAAGTATAGAAGAAGATCCAGGTATCCACGGCAAAACGGTTGCTAACGGCGGCCCGGCCGCAGACACGGTCCGTCCTCAGAGAACCTGTCCCACTGCTACTGCCTCGGGTGAGCACCAGGGGAGGACCAGATTGGATACTCCTTCCGCTAAAGGCGGCGCTGACCATTGTGTCCCCGCAGAGCCCCGCCACAGACCTGCCGGTACCCGCTGCCACTGGACCGGTGCCCTGGGATGATTTTCCTGCCGGTACTATCAGGTGCCCAGGGGCTTGCCATGGGCCCGCCACCCAGACCCGCTCTGCAGCAAAACAGGAACCTATTCTCTCCTTCCCACTCTGCCTTGCCCAGTCGGCTCAGGGGAAAGGTTTCTTCCAGGTTGTATCAGGAGGGAAGAGTTTGCTTTGGCTGTGGGGACCTCAGAACAACTGGGTTCTGAGAGGTCCTGAGAGGAGAGGGAAGGAGGTAGCAAAGAATAGTGCCGGACTTGTGGTGAGCATTCAGCTTCTGCAGCAAAACAGTGCCTGGGATGCTGTGGGAAGCAGCTGTAAGAGCTGAAGGAGGGACAGGACGGGCTGCCTCGTATGTGAGCAGTGCTCTTGGCTGGAGCAGGGCAGCCAAAGCACCGCTGCACAGGGGGCACCCCGTGTCCAGCCTCGGGATTCTCCTCACCAAACACTCCCCAGTTTGCAACCATGGCCAGGTGGGTACGTGGAGCCAGGACGCAACCGCTGCCCAGCGGCTGCTGCGTGGCCTTCCATGCTGCTTGCGAAGGACACCATGGCCTTGGAATTGTGGTTGGAGCTTTAATCAAAAAGTCACATTTTCTTAAGCAGGGCTTAACTGCTGCCTGGCTTTTCAGAGTCAGGAGCACAACGCCTACAGGGTCCGCCACCGTCTTTTCTGCATCCATATACAGGTCAGGATGTATATTGTCTGTTGTACCAGGGATGAGACCTGACATTCCTCTTCTCCTGTCAAAGGATGGAGTGCTGCAACAGACGGAAAAAGAGCAGAGCTGAAACCCACTGATCTGCAGAGACCCACAGGCATCTCTTCCAGACCATGCCAGCCCCAACCATCCCTTTCCCTGGTCAGGAGGCGCAGGCAGACAAATGGATCACCTGGAAGCTGCTGCTCAGGATTACAGCAAATGCCCCCAAGATGTTCCCTGGAGCAGGACAGCAGGACAGCACGCTGCCCAGGCTCTGTCCCCTGTCCCCGCCAGCCCCATCACACACAGCACTGCCCCTACTCACCCTTGAAGATCTCCTGCAGCGTGTCCTTGCTGCTGTCATTCAGGTACCGCGCAGCCAGTCCTGTGCAGAGAGCTCGGTCAGACCTGCTGCCGCCCAGCACACTCCTGGTATCGTGGCCCCGGCTCTGAAGGTTGGGCTGAACCCCTTCCCTCCCCTCAGCGGGGTGACCCCAGGGAAGGACAGGACCCGAGGGGAGGTGCCACTGAGCAAGGTGCCACTGAGCCCTGCTGCCAGGGCAGGGGTAGGAGGGGGAAGCACAGAGCCCCTGGCTGCACAGGCCCTGTACAGGGCAGCTGGGGCTCTGGCAGCTACAGGGCTGCTCCTCGCTGCCAGTGCAGCAGATGGGACTGGGGCCAGGCTGCCATAAGGGGGACTCCAGGGACTGCAGCTCACCGATGAACCTCACGGCTGCCATTCGCACGGTGACCTGAGCGTGCTGCAGATAAGGCATGCTTTGACGCACATATTCTTCAGCCCTGCTCCGCTTGTGCTCCAGCTGGAGAGAGCAAAAGGGCGCAGGGATGATACACACCCTCCCCAGTTACCTGGGACAGTCCCCCTTCCCAGCACCCCACACACCCCCCTTCATCCTCAGGACATTTGCATCTCCCAGCAAGGAGCCCTGTGGGGCTGAGGTTCAGAGACAGCTACATGCAAAGCAGGGTCTGGAGGTCCCGAGAGCCCTCTGTGCCGCTGCAAGGGCCCAGATGGGTCTCCTGCAACATCCTGAGGGTGGAGAGGTGAGCCCTTGGGAGCTCTGCCTGAGGGCAGGGAAGGAGGATGCAGCACCAGGCTGCAGGCTCTGGGCTGAAGCACTGCAGGCGAGGCACCACTGCACAGGGGGCACCCCATGTACAGCCTGGGACTTATCCTCACCAAGCGCTCCACAGTTCTCCATCTCTCCAGTGCCTGCACGTGGTGACTGAGCCATTTCCATTTGAGCACCTTTGCAGCTACACAGAAGGTTTCGTGAGAGGCCTGCAGAGGAGGACAACGATTGGGGAGATTGTGGACAGGGCTTGCGGCCCAAAGCCCTGGCCCCCAGCACCTGCAGGGACAGCTGGGTAGTCCCTGGGGACTCTGCTCTTCAGGCCTTGGTGGCCATGGGCTGCTGTTGAGCCCTGCTGGACCACATAGGGCAGGCGTGGCAAATGTCCCTGCCAGCTTCCCCTGCCCTCCCCGCTGCCCAGGCCACCCCCGCGGGCTCAGCATGCCCTTCCCCACACCACTGCTCAGGTTTGCAATCTGTACCTTGGCCACACTCTCAGTCTCATCACTCATGTGCAACACGAGTGGGACCAGGCTCCCCTGCACGTTCTTCCGCATCTGCCGCTGGTGCTTCCAATCCGCCATCTGTATTACTTCTTTGAATAGGCAGATGGAGAGCTCTCGCACCTGGCTGGACACCTGGTGAGGAGGAGGAGGACAGAAGGGCGTCAGTAGCAGCAGCTCCCTGAGCAAGGGCGTCAGCGTGGCTGAGGGGAGGGGTTTCAGGTCTCCCAGAGCCATCAGCAAGTCAGGGAGAAGCTGAGCTGGGCTGCAGAGCCCAGAAGGCATCCCCGTGAGAGCGCAGGGGCATGAGGAGGGGCACAGCCGCATGGAAGTGCTGCCGCCAGGCTCTGCTAACAGGCACTTGTCCTTGCAAAGGGCCCATCAGTGAGGATCAGGCTTCCATAGCAGCCTTACATCATCAAACAGTTGCGGGAGATTCTCGGCCAGCTGCAGAGCAGTGGAGCTGTCCTTCTTCTTCAAATGACCCATCACATTTCTGAAAATGAGCAGCATCTTCTTTCTGTTCTTACTGTGGGCTGTCTGCAGCATGTATATCAAATCTGGCAGCAGGACCAGTATTTTCTTTGCCTGTACAAAGCACAGAATTCCTTGTATGTTAAGTGGCGAAGGACCACCCAGGCCAAAATGCTCTGGCCCTTAAGCACCAGACTCCTGCCTGGCTGACTGGGCAGTGGCACAGGAATCCCTGCAGCAGCCTCCTGGCAGGCCATCCCCATGGTGCACTGAGGGGATCGGGGCCTGTGACTGGACGTTGAGGGCATTTGGTGCCGTGACCCCAGCTCCCGATTCCCAGCCCTGGTCAAGCCGCCGCGTTACCCACTGCCCAGCCCCAGGAGGCCAACACGGCTTCCCTTGCCTATGCCCTGCTCACCGTGTCAGGTGACTGTGACAACGTGATGAGGCCTGTGAGCGTCAGCGAGAACAGCACCACATTTTGACACCACGGGAACTTCTCCCTGTTGTACACCCCAGCGAATTCCTCTGGTGTCACATCGCTGCAGGCCAGGAGCTGAAACAAAGATGGCAGTGAGGGACCGGCCGAGCCTGCAGGGCTCCCGGCACTGTGCAGCTCCTGGGTCCCGCTGGCAGCTCAGGACAAGGGCACCGGGGACAGAGAGCCCGTGCTGGGGGACACCAGCCGCACACCACACGCTTGTCTGTGCCGGCTCTGCTGGTGTAAGCAGAGCACTGACAGGGACTTTGTGCACCCGCACCCAAGCAGCGTGGCATGGCCCTGTGTGGCTGGCACAGGGGAACCTGGCGCTGGGCTGGCCCTAACGGGCTGCATCCCTGTTTCCCAGAGGAGGTGACTGTTTGGGGGCAGATGGCAGGGAAGAGGGCTGTGCCTGTGTTTCTGGAGAGGCAGGCACAGCCCTGAGTATGAGCAAGGACTGGTCTGGTTACTCACAGCCAAGAGCCGGATACAGAACTTCACTCTGCAGAATCTGCTTCCGATACGTAACTGCAGGTGCTGGAGGTTCCTTCTCAGCTCCCTCAAGACCTTCACCAAGATGAGGGGCTGGGACAGCAGCGCTTCCCACATGGCCTGAGCAACTTTGCTGAAAGAGAACACTGTCAGCAGGGCTGCCTTGGCCACCACACGGTGCCTGGGCCAGCCCTGCAGCAGCCAGGCTGTGCTGCAGCCCTGGCCCTTCCTGACCCCTCACTGGGAGTGCCCAGGTCCCAGATGGGGCAGGCAGGAGGGGGCTGAAACTGTTCCCTGTGGGGCAGGGAGGAAACTCGTGGCAGGCCTCGGGTCTGGCTTGGACAGCTTTGGCTACTGCAGGCCTGGCCAACCCAGCAGGGCAGGAGAGAGTGATGGGGTACAGGGCCCAGCTCCTCAGGGGTGTCCTGCAGTTTTCTGTGGGCCTCCACGTCCCTCTCCCCACATGGAACAAACCCACAAGGGCTGTGGGGGTCAGTACCTGTTACATGCTGGAGAGATATCTATAAGGCTCAAGATCATCTCCCTGGGGTTCTGCTGTGCCATGCTTAGAAACAGCGACTTCAGGCTGCACCGGGCTGATGCTGCACTGATGTGCTGCAAGTTGTTATAGATGCAGCGCGTGATGAACCACACCTGGAGAGCACACGGGTGAGGGTGGTGCTGCCACCAGACTGCAGCCATTTCCTCAGCTGCTGCTGAAACAGCTGCCCTTCCCATCCTACTCTACTGGCATGAAATGGCTTCAAGGTGCCTGAAGCACCCGGGTGAGGGGAGATGGGATGTAGGGAGGAACAGTGCCTGGAAGGACTGGAGGACAGGGCAGCCACAGGCTGCTTACCTCTGTCAGCCAGGAGGCAGGTTCTGTCATGGCCACGTTCAGGATGCTGATCAGCTCCTCCTTGTCACATACACATGGGTCTCTCATGGCCTGTATGGCCCTGAGGATGATGACTGTCTTATCAGCAGGGTGGAGGTATTCCCCAAATGCCTGCAGGAAGGAGGAAGGCGGGGAAGACGTGTTACACTGAGTGCCCTGATAGTGCTGCTCAGCTGGGCAGTGAGAGCAGCTCTGGCGAGAGGACCCACGGGAAAGCTGGCAGCAGGGGCTGCAGTCGTTGCAGAGGATAAGAAGAGAGGTCCCTAGGTGAGAGAGGAGGGACCCTGGAGTGCAGCCCTCTGAAGTCCCTGCTCCAGAACAGCAGCAACCCTCTGACCAGGGACAGTGAGGTCATGCCAAGCCCGCTGGTTCTGGATCCCTTTGCTTGCACCAGTCTCGTTCTGATGCCCCAGACAAGAGGCCCAGCAAGGAAGAAGCTCATTACCTTTGCCATGCTCCTCGTGCTGCACAGAGAAAGACAGGAGGGTTTCCCTGCTTCCCTCTTCCCTCCAGCCTGGGGATGCTCTGGATGATCATGACAATTGTCTGGTTGAGGTGACGTCATGCCTAAACATGAGGGGATCACGGAAGAGTCATTAGGACACAGCACTGATTACCATCAGTGACAGCTTTGGCTATGGGGACCATGGAACTGCTGGGTTCTGAGAGGCCCTGAGAAGAGTGGGAAGGAGAGCAGCAAAGAGCAGTGCCGGACTTGTGGTGAGCACTCGGCTTCTGCAGCAAAACAATAGCTGGGATGCTGCGGGAAGCAGCTGTGACGGGCAAAGGAGGTGAGGGAAGAGGGCAGGCTGCCCTGGACAGCCTCCAGCAAGCACAAAAAGAATCCACTACAATACTTGGGGAAACAAGCAGGACTATGAGGAGACGTCTGTGTGTGGAGGGATGAAGCCCACAGAGCTTCTCTTACATTTTTGGTGCTGGATGAATATGGAGAGGTGATGAAGAGCAACCAAAGCCTCCTGCTGGATCGCCCAGATCTTGCTAGTCCAGCAAACAATGAGACATCCCAGCAGCCGTCCCAGCAAGCGGTCCTTGCTGATGTCATGGTGGGAAGAGCTGTGGTCGTGTCCAAGCAAGCTCCAGACCTGGGCAAGGGAGGCAGGACAGGTAGAAGGGCTGAGGGGCAGCAGCGCAACAAAAGCTCCGAAGCTGAGACTGCCCCAGGGAAGGATCCTGGAGGGTCGGAGTTGTGCAGGGCCCTCCCAGAGCAGCGAGCTGGGCAGCCGGGCAGGGAGAGCTGCCAGGCCTGGCCTCCCGCCATGCTCCTTGGGCAGTGCTGACCTGCACAGGACTGGGGGCCAAGATGGCTGCTGGCAGAAAGGGCACTGGGGAGGAAAAAACATGGGAAAAAGAGAAGCCGAGACCCTTGCCCAGGGCAGAGCCGTGCTGAATGCCTCAGGCATCTTGAGCCGCAGGCTGCTGCCCACGGTGGGCAGGGAATGGGAGACAGCCTGGCTGGAGGGTGCGGGCCTCCCTACCTGCACTGAGGAAGAGCTGGCCATCAAATCAGCCAGCTTTGCGATCCTTGCCACGGCCCATTCACATACAGCTGGGTGCTTGATGTTGGTGAAGGGCAGCAGCATCTGGAAGGAGAGAAAGTGCTGCTGTGCCCTGGGAGCTGGTGCCCGTGCCAGCAGCAGCAGCAGCAGCACTGCTCAAGTCCTGGCTGGACTCATGCAGTCCTTGTGGCCCTGAAGGGAGGCAGATACCACCCCAGGGTAGAGTCTGCTTCTTTCTGTGCCCTCCCCGTGAGCACAGGCCTGTGTTCCCTCTCCGTGAAGGCTGGGCTTTTGGGCAGCACCCTCCCGGGGGGCGGTGATCCTGCAATGGGGGAATGGGCGTACGGCTCCCTGAGAAGTCAGGAGCGCCGAACTTCAGAGCTGGGCTCCCTGTGCAGGACAGGCAGGTCCCAGTGGGTCTCTGCCCCGGTCAGACCTGGGCAGAAAAGCAGGAGGGACTGCGAGGCATGGGAAGAAGGGCAGCACCCGCTGCCACTGCTGCGGTGCCTGAGGAGAGGGGTCAGTGCCTCCCGCTGCTTTGGTGCGAGGAAAGTTCTGGGGATGGAGCTGGCCCACAAGTGCCACGGGCCAGGCTTTGCCATGGCACGGGAGGAGGCTGCAGATGGGAAGTGGGGTTGACTGCAGCCAGGGGACACAGGCTCCTGGAAGAGCACGGTGGGCCATGTCTGGGTTCCCTGAGTGCTGAGCACCCTCCCTGCAGCGTGCTGTGGGCATGGCGCTGCGAGGACACAGTGTGCTCAGAGCGGATGCTCCCTTCCCTCCAGGGAGAGGAACAGCACCTCCCAGCCCTGCTCTCTGCAAATGCCACACCTGCAAAATTCTCCACAGGTCCCTGGAGCCCGGGGAGCTGAGCACCAAGCTCTCCAGCAGGACGTCCACGGCATCCAGGGTCTGCAAGGAGGAAAACGGTCACGTCAGTCTTTCTGCAGTCCCTCTCTCCCCGGGGATGGATCTAACCCCCCACGCCATGGGGAAGGCACCCCTGCCACCTCTAGGTGGCCAAGGGACACCTTGAAGCAGACAAGTTGCAGTGGGCAGAGGAGCCAGTCCAGAGGCACTGGACATGGCAAGGCCCACAAGAAGGAGACACAAACAGGCAGCGTGAGAAGGGGGGCACGTGGCCAGCGGGACTGGAGCAGTGGGGCTGCAGTGCTGTGCAGGAGACCCGGGGGAGCAGCTCTGCCCAGCCAGCAGCCCCCAGCAGCCTGGCAGCAGAGCCAGTGGCCCCATCAGGAGACACGGGCACTGCTAGCCTGGAAACGGCTGCGGTTACCTTCTCTGAGCTCTGCAGGAAAGTCTGGATAAACCGCATGTGTGCAGCGCGTTCCTCTTCCATCCTTGCCGGACAAAAGGATAGGGGTGAGGAACGAGTAGGGTTGAAAGAAGTGTCTCGGCACTGCGGGGCTGCTGGGGCAGTGGGGAACAACGTGGGCTGCGCTCAGGGGTCTGCGCCAGTCTCTCGCTCCCGCTCTGTCCCGTCACCGTCCTGCCGGACACTGGCACGAAGGATGTGGCCTGCTGACTTTTATACAGTGCCCTGGGGTGTGACCAAGGGCACATCACAAAGGCACGTCACAAAGGGCACCGTGGTGGGTCACGGAGGGCACATCACTAAGGGCACTACAGTGGGTAACGGAGGGCGCATCACTAAGGGCCTGTCACAAAGGGCACCACGGCAACCTGCCATTCAGAACATG